AAGACTCGGAGACATGGGAAAGAATCCGAAAGAGAACAACACAAAGGATTAGCCGTCTAGAAAGCCCGGCCTGGGAGGAAAGTTCAAAAGAAATGGGGCTTGTTTTAATCTAGAACAAAACAACAGAGATAAAGGGGCTTAGAGAGAGTGTGAAAATTGTTCTGTATTAACAGTAAGTGCGGCACTTAATTTGTCTTCAGGGAGTGAGATCCTCTTTCACAACACCGAAGAAATTGCTGCTAGGGGGACCTGTACAGGAAAGGGGATTTGGACTAGGACTCCTGGACACTGAAGTAAACCGCTCCACAGCAATATGCATACTCATTACAAATATGTTACCTTTTAACTTGTTCAGGTAGTTAATCTTTAAGGTTGCTGCTTCTGTCCCCTTGGTCAGCTGCTTTTTACCGGACATATACAAAAAAAAACCTAGAACTCTTGATTCCAAAACGATACCTCTTTATTAGACCATCTGGGAAATCACAAGAAAAGTGTCCTTTTCTGCAAGCTTCTGGGATCAAAGTCCCTTCATCAGACTCTGGGAAATATATAGATGGTACAAGATGGTCAAAAGTCCCCATAGGTAGGAAATAAACTTCACTTGTGTACAGAGGGAGCTGCAGAGGGAAGGCTGTCCCTCTGGGGCCACGCCAGTGTCTTTGTGAGCGGTGCTGAGTGGCCCTTGGATGTGTAGATCAGGTAGAAGTCTTTCCCTGGAGGTGTCAGACAGCAGGCAGGGAGGTGAAGAATCTTTCTTGTTGTTCTGCAATGACGTTTAAAATCCAAAATCAGCTAAAATTAGGCATCTTCCAAGTTTCAGGGGTGTACTCAGACCAACACGGCTATCCTAAATGCAATCTGGTGGACAGTGGTGCTAACATACCTTTAAGTATTCAGCAGGCAGCCTTCAGGCTCTTCAGGACATGTCACTTCAGTTTTAACGGCATACCTGGCTATGCTTGCCACACCCTTGTGTTTAAGTAAAGGTAATAAACCTAACTTGTAAGCCTGATTTATGATGATTTCCCTATGACTATTGGCTTACTCACCTTTACTCACTCCTGCTCTTGCTTCACTCAGGCACATACAAAGTGATTTTTTTTGTAATGTCTCTTCTGCCTGATAACAAGGCTGAAAACTTCAGCTCAGCCTTGGTCCCTACGTTTGTTATTTTTGCATTGCTGTGGTTCACACAACTTATAAGCTCAAGTCTTGCTCTTGCATTTAAGGAATAAGCAAATATGGTTAAGGGATTAATGCCAAGGTTCTCAACCAGGGTGATGGGGCACCCTGGGGTGTCTTCAGATCCTTTCAGGGGTGCCATGGTGTAATAGTCACTGTTAGGTGTACAAGCTAAACCAGAGATTTCAGAGACATTAGGGCTGGAAGGGACCTCGCAAGATCATTGAGTCCAGCCCCCTGCCCCAGGGACAGGAAGTCAGCTGGGGTCAAAGGATCCCAGCAAGATAGGCATCCAAATTTTTCTTAAAAGAGTCCAGAGTAGGTGCTTGCACCACCCCTGGAGGGAGTTTATTCCAAGCCCTGGGGGCTCAGACAGTAAAGAAGTTTTCCCTTATGTCCAGCCTGAAATGGTCTTGAAGGAGTTTGTGACTGTTTGGTCTTGTCATCCCCTGAGGTGCTCTGGTGAACAAGCGTTCCCCCAGATCCTGATGTACACCCCTATGTTAAAGTTTTGTTTTAAAAGAAAACTTAATTGAACACTTCTTCCACTAGGTGTCACTCTTGCTTTCCAGAACACTGTACATCAGTGCTTCCTTATACTGGCACCAAAATTACATTCAGTAATCAATAGCAAGAGGAGTACCAGAGGGCAGTGGTAGCAAGCTAATTGACTGTTAGTAGCAGTGGATCACAGAGGAGACTGTAGCTTTGCCCAGGCTTGCCCCAGGTCACATGGTGAATCCGTATTAGAAGTGGTATTAGCACACTAGTATCCTGTTTTGTGAGAAGGTGGGGTAGATATGCACACCTCTGTCTTGTGGCCAGAGCACAAGACCATGCTGCCTCCCTGCAAGTGACAGCTGGTATAAAGATCTTTACTTTCTTTACACATCTACTCGGAGATCAAAAGAGTGTTTCTTCCCAAAGCAGAAGCAATGGATCCTTGGACATTCAAGGTGGGGAGGAGTAGTGAAAGAGTCAAGTCTACACGCTGCAGAAACTGCATGTAGCATGCTGCCTGATTGGAAGGGAGGAAAATAAAGCTAAGCTTGGAGCTGAGGTGAAAGTACAATTACCCTTTGATCCTTCTCACTCAGGGTGTTGAGCCATTTCTAAATCTGTGCTCTTTTAGAGGCAAGTTACGGAGCTATTGTCATGGGTGGATCTAGGATTTGAAAGGGGGAAGGTGCAGTGGTGTGGTACATCCTGTAACAACGCATTTTTCTTTAATTTATTAGTAAAGATTCTGTTGTTTTTTTTTCTATGACAAGGGCCTAACATATTAGTTTAAGAGACGAGCAAAAACAAATATAATTGAATTGGGGGAGGGAGGACTGACTGCCAGCTCCAGGATGGGGCAGGCACCTGGTGCCAGGAGCGTTCAGCTGTTACCCCTAGCCTGACCACAGACAGTCTCCTTGCATCCATGGGTGGGTCCCCCACACACTCCACCATGGCCCCAAAGTGTCCCTCACTGTCCTTTATGCATTGCCCCTCCCACCTCAACTGCCCTGACTCCATTCAGTCCCCTCTTATCCCACATATTCCCTATGCTCAGCCCTACCCTATCATGCCCCAAGCCCCATCAAATACCATCATCCCCTTCACACTTCACTGACTTCAACCCCTGCCATTGTGACCCAAAAATTCACTGCATCTTGAACATCCCCCCTGACCCTTTACCATCTCCCTTATACCTCACTGAGCCCTACCATGCCAGTCTGCACATTTAAACATCACTGCAGCCCCCACACTCCTGGGCTCCCCCTGCCTCCCATCCCTCTTGCTCCCAACTTCCCTCAAATTCCTTTTTACCCCTACAGCCCCCATCATGCCTCTTGGTCCCCAACCCACCCACCTCCATAATGCCCCAACCCCTCCTCACTTCACACCTCTCTCCCTCACAGGCCTGAAAGCCCGTTGGTACCCTTGACTCCAGTCTAGCCCCTTGTGGCTTTTAGGAGCCCCTTTTCTTCAAAATACCTTCCAAACATGTATAGAATCACAGAAAATTGGGGTTGGAAGGGACCTCAAGAGGTCATTTAGTCCAACCCCCTGCTCAAAGCAGGACCAGCCCCAACTAGATCATCCCAGTCAAGGCTTTGACTAGCTGGGTCTTAACCTCCAAGGATGGAGAGTCCACATCCTCTCTGGGTAACCTGTTCAGTGCTTCACCACCTTCCTTGTGAGAGTTTTTCCCAATATCCAATCTAACTTCTTTTGCTGCAATTTCAGACCATTGTTCCTTGTTCTGTCATCTGCCACCACTGAGAACAGTCTAGCTCCATCCTCTTTGGAACCATCCTTCAGGTAGTTGAAGGCTGTTATTAGATCCCCTCTCAGTTTTCTCTTCTGCAGACTAAATAAACCCTGTTCCTTCAGTATCTCCTCAGAAATCATGTGCCCCAGTCCCCTAACCATTTTCATTACCCTCTGCTGGACTCTCTCCAACTTGTCCACATCCTTTTTGTAGTGGGGGGCCTAAAACTGGACAAAGTACTCCAGGTGTGGCCTCACCAGTGCAGAATAGAGAGGAAAAATTACTTCTCTCAATCTGCTGGCAACACTCCTATTAATGCAGCCCAGTATGCTGTTAGCCTCTTTGACAACAAGGGCACACTGTTGGCTCATTCAACTTACTGTCCACTGTGACCCCCAGGTCCTTTTTTGCAGAGCTACTACTTAGCCTGCTTGTCTCAAGCCTGTACTGATGTGTGGGATTGTTGCATCCTAAGTGCAGGACTTTGTACTTCTCCTTATTGAACCTCATAAGATTTCTTTTGGCTCAATCCTCCAATTTGTCTAGGTCACCCTGAATCCTAGCCCTACCCTCCAGCACATTTACTACTCCCCCCAGCTTGGTGTCATCCACGAACTTGCTGAGAGTGCAATCCATCCCATCTTCCCAGATCGTTAATGAAGATGTTGAACAAAACCAGCCCCAGGATGAATCCCAAGGGTGCTCCAATTCATACTGTCTGCCAACTAGATATCGAGCCAGCAATCAATACCCATTGAGCCTGACTATCCAGCCAACTTTCTATCCATCTTACAGTTCATTCATCCAGTCCATACTTCCTTAACTTGCTTGCAATGCTGTGGAAGAGTGTATCAAAAGAAAGTCTTGCTAAAGTCAAGGTATATCACATCCACTTCCTCCCCTGTATCCACAGAGCCAGTTATCTCATCATAAAAGGCAATTGGGTTTGTCAGGCATGACTTGCCCTTAGTGAATCCATGCTGGCTGTTCCTGATTATCTTCTCCAAGCGCTTAGAAATGGATTCCTTAAGGGCCTGCTCCATGATTTTTCCATGGGCTGAAGTCTGCAGTTTCTTGAATCCTCCATCTTCCCTTTCTTAAAGATGGGCACTATGTTTGGCTCTTTCCAATCATCTGGGACCTCCCCCGATTGCCACAAGTTTTCAAAGATAATGGCCAGTGACTATGCAATTACATAGGCCAACTCTTTCACCACCCTTGGATGCACTGCATCCAGGCCCATGGACTTGTACATGTCCACCTTTTCTAACTTGGTCTTTCATCACTGAGGGCTGCTCATCTTCTCAAACTGTGCTGCCCGGTGGA